GGGCCGCGCCCCGCGGTGCCCCTGCGCGGGCCCCCGCAGCGCGCGCCCCGCGGCGGCGGGTCCGGGTCTGTGAGCGGGGCGCGCTCCCGGGGCCCGCAGCGGAGCCGGGGCGCTGCCGGRGAGGAGGCGTCGCCCTCCAGCGCCGCAGGGCTCCATTCCCAGCCGAGGGACACGGGGCAGGCGCTGCGCTCCCCGCCGGTCGGCCGGCTCCTGCCCTGCACCGTCCTCCTTGACACCCAACCAGGGGAAAACACTTTGCAGAACAACACGCCCGCCCACGAAAGCGCAGCAGCTTTCCTTAATCGCAGGCGCAGCCCGCCGAGCACCTCCCTGTTCCCTGCACTACTTTAACACAAATGCCCGGGTCCAGGCTGGACAGTCCAGGCTTAACCACGGCACCCTTGCAGCCTCCGGCCAGCTTGGAGCAAATCGCCTTGTCCCGCTCTGCTCCACTTCCTCACTGGAGGACATCACCAAGGTTCAGCAGGGTGGAAGATACCCCCAAAGAGAGCTCATTTCCTAAATTACCCCAGTCACAGGTAACACACATTTTCCCCTAAAAAGATCATTCTTTTTGGTGTGACATCATGTCTCACGCAATTCTCATGTTTAGACTCTTCCCTGGCTTAAGCCAGGTTAACACACCTTACTGTAAGCTAAATCAGGGCTACCTTTCAGAAAAGGCCGAATGCCTTATCACATTATATCTACAATACATTACAAACGTACAGAAATCATACAGCAACACACTACAATAGTTTTGTAAAAAGGTGGCAGCCTGTCAAAAGGGTGGGCTGCTCTGCCGCCCTCCCGCTGGGACGCCCAGAACCACCTGCTAAATTGAACCAAAACATCCAGGTAAGTTATAATGCAACACAGATACCCAGCAATAGGGGAAATATCAGGTCACAATAATTAAAAATATAGAATATTATATACAATAGAAAATATAGRACTAAAAATTCAGTTCTGTTTGGTACACTGAAAAGGCAACAACATCAGGTCTAGACTCTATTCTAATTTTATGCAAAGATGACTGGATTTTTTCCCCTCACAAAAAAAGTCAGGAACCTAAAATAAATCAGGCACTGTTTAGTAGCCTAAGTAAATTGGGCGCTTTTTTGAGAGCACTAGCTGCTATGTTTCTAACAGGAGACAAATACCATTTAATTTTGGTTTAAGAAGTCAGTTCAAGCTCCACTTTACAGTRACTATGAAAGTGGGTGTATTTGTCTCAGAGTCTGCGTTTATGCACATTGAGAAAACTCACATGGAAATTCAGCTGAACAGTAACAGCTTCATGCAGCTTTGCAAGGTGGTCTGTGCTAAAGAAAACAAAACAGACTAGAGCATTAGAAGAGTTATAAAATTTACAGAGGATTGCAGCTGATTTCTGTTAGTCTTCCTTTGTTTTTCACATCAGATATAAAATAGTTTCAAACATCAAAGATCTTGTAATAAWGAACCACATCAGCACTTGGGGGTGCTCAAGGAGGGCACTCAACAGTGCAATGCAGCATTCCTCTGCGAGAAGCTAGAAGTAGCCTTTCTTTACAGGATAATTTAAAAAAAAAAAAAAAAAAGACTTTTTGTTGTTTTTGTGTTTTTTTGTTCAAGAGAAAGTTAATAATTATCTTCTTTTTATTAGGTCAAACCCAGAAAGCGCAACATGGCACACCAGAGACAATAAAGCAGATGGTCTGTGCTTACAGAGTGGATTTGCAAAAGCACGTAAGCAAAGTAGAATTTTAACTCTGTGAAAAATAAAATGGCTACCATATTCTACTTGATTTAGGAAAAAAAAAAGCCATGAATTTTTGGATCTACTTATCGCTCCTAAATCCATTCTTTTCTTCCAGTAGCAACAGGTAAGATGCAACGTGAAACAATTATATCTGTCTCCCTTAAATCTTTATGGTAATGGAAAAAAAAATGGTTTTCAAAGGGTTTTCTGTATATGTTCCATGTAACACTCAAATCTTTTTCTTTCTTGTCTCCAGCTTACAGCTGCTTGTACTTACAAGCTGGGTTCCCCAAATAAATTATGAACCTGTACTTTCGTGGACTTTGCCGTTGGTGGGGATTCCAAGTACTGGACAAGGCTTTTTTTTGTTTTGGGCTTTTTTTTTGTCCCCCTCCAATAAGCCAATATTCTACATTATTGTGTTTTCTGACCAACGTTAGCCCCTCTAATACCCCACTGATCCATCAGACCTCGCACACACATAGAAACTCASCTTTAGGTAGCACATTTGAGAGAGGGGTATATGAGGAACACAGTTTTCCCACTCCATACCCCTTCACAGCTCCTTCAAATCCTTTCTCCAGCTCCTGCCCGCTGCCCAGACTGGCAGGGCCACACGGCAATATTTAAGGCACATCCTGCATAGCTCGGCGACAACCATCCCTGGCACAGTTTTCCAGCACTGGAAAGGCTACGGCCGGAGCAAGCGCGGCTGCAGCCGCTGACCGGGAGCGCGGGGTAAGGCGGCCCCATCGCCCTCCTGCCAGCCACCCGCACAAGCYGGGCAGCTTCGCCGCCCTCCCAAACCCCGACCGCTCGGAACCCAGTCCTTCGAATTGCACCAAACTCTGTTTTCTTCATTCTCTGTTTTCAAACCCCTCACATACCCAGAAGCATCRTTATGGCTTAGAACTGGTTGATGAGAGATTGCAACCTCTTGCGATGTCTGTACCATGGCGAGTCCTTACTATACATTCCTCCTACATAGTCGTTTCATCCTTGCAAGACCAGTGGCACGTACTGTTGGCATCCTCTGAGAGGCATTTTTGGGCATGTTTTTCTTAGATCGTTTTGTCAGTGGATGTTCAGCAGCAATAAACAGCACTCTTTTGCCTGCCATTAAGTAAGGGTCCCATGTATTTCAAATATCTTCCCTATTTCCTGAATTCATAAACATAGCTCTGAGTCTTCAAACTAAAAATAAGATTTTCTGGCTCTCAGGTTAAAAGAATGCCATTAGGAATGATTCAAATCTGAACACGCATAAACTTGTGAGTTCTTCCCTATGCATCTATCCGAAACCTTGAGAGCTAATGAATAGCATTTAAATAATCAATCACAGAATGACTTTTTTTTTTTTTTGCGGGTAGTATGAACAAAACCATACAACTAGAAAAGTTATGTCATGATGAAAAAAATTAGAATTTACAGGATTTAACCAGAATTCCGTGTTAGATGCAGGATACAATCAGCCAATGATCTAGCCGAATTAAAACAGGAGTTCAGATCATCCCCTTAGATCAAAGCCATTAACAAAGACATCTTTCACATCACCCCGAGCCTTCTCCCTGACTTGCAAGAAAGCTCCGGGATGTTTCCCTGCAGGACGCAGGGTCCCTAAAGCTTCCACATCAGATCTCCTGCCTTGTGTTTAAAGGCTGCTCACTCCCTCGTGCCCAGCTGTCAGAACTCCCAAGCTCCCTCACAGAAACCTTTAAAAATGGCAATGGAGCAATGCAGAAACCCCTGCCAAACATGCAAACTGCAAGCAGCACAGCCTAAGTTATTAGGAAGAAAGAACCCCAACATGATGGAATTTTCTACATATTTATTTAAGCAAAAAGCTCCATTAAGAAGTGCCCGAGGCCGTCACGAATTCCACTCTCAGGCACACAATTCGAGTTTCGCATGCTGCGCCGTACACAGGCTGCTGGCTTCAACTCATGCAATCACTTAGGTCTCTTTGAGAAAAATGGAAACTAAAATTGCTAACCAAGGTAACTTCCAAGTGTGATGATTAAAGCAGGGTATTCTAGGGTGTAATAATGCAAATACAGACTTGAAATGTGCTACCAACACATGTTACAGCCTCAGGTAAGTGAACAATCACTCATTTCTCAGTGGAGAAACACACAGTGGAAATTGGGAAAGATTTTATAAACAAAACAATTAGTTACAGTACACTCCTTGTTTTCTTACAACAATAATATGTTGAGCCCCCAAAGAACTGGGCTGACAATTGAAGTTATTATGAAAATGAGAAAGAAATAAAACTGACTATTAAGGCGTGTCAAGGGCATAAACTAGGAACAGAGCCGAAAATCCTGTATGATGCACCTAGTGCTTATGTGGTGAGGAAGCAACAAAACCATAATAAAGGCTACTCAGTTAGAAGACTAATACAGAGTGGAAGGACTGGCAATATGGGGCCTGTCTCCATCATTACCACTAGTCAGTGGATAATGTCTTAGAATAGATTCTCTGGCATCCAAATTGCTGCTTTTTTTTACCAGTAACATGAAAAATATTCAAGGATTTCATACCTTTATAAATTGTTCATTAGTTTTAAAATAGTTATTATTCAAATAAAGTTAAATGAAAAAATCCTTAGGAGAAGAAACACTCAACTTTTTTTTTTTTTTTCAGAAACAAATCCTTTTGCTCTGCAATCAACATTTTTTGCCACAATTTAAGTCCACTTGTCTTGTCCTACCTATCGCGGATTTGCATTCGATAACTTCTTACCTTCTTGGAATAGGCTACAGAGGGTAGAAAAAAATCTTATGCCTTCGAGTCCTCTCCTTTAGTGACTTGCATTCTTCCCCTCCATTCCAGTTCCTCTAGGCTTTCCTCTGAGGTCCTGGTATCTAGACCTTAAATCATTTGATTATGCTTCCTGTGACCTTCATCCTTA